GAACAGGAAATTATAACCGCTTGCCACACGACCATCCCCAGACGGCGATGCAATACCACGTATGGGAAACCAACGTTGCTGCATTGTTGTATGACACTCTGCTCAAGCCAAAGTCTCCGCACAAAGGAAACGTACAGTGATACTGAAAATTTCCCCGTGTACAGTTTCCGTCAACCCAAAATAGAGTTCTTCCCGTCAAACACTAATTTCCAGCAGAGGAACATTTTACAGTTCGGTGAACCATTTATGTCTAATACGGTGGCTCGGTTCTCTGCTCGCAATGACGAGATCCTTTGTTTCTCTAACAATGGAGGTTTGATATTACTGAAAGGGACGGCTCAGATTCTGGACGCTTCACCTCACTTGAGAAGCTTTTCGCTCTGGTGGACCACAGAACCTGTTCCAAGAACAGATGGGATCGATAATCATGTGTCTATTCTCGACAAATGTGTCATTAATGAAGACCAACCCGTCCTTCTTCCGTCTCTCTAATCGCATGTGAACGGAAAATTCCACCGCCGCTAAATCCAGACCTTGTAAATCTTTCTTAATAGAACAATGTGAATATTAAATGTATACCTTTAAATTCATTAGTACATACCGCGTACGAATTGCTAGATAGTCTTAAGTTGCCTTGATTGTTATACCCTCGGCTTTGTTCCAGTATTGTAATCTGTGGGTGGACATGAAATATCATATATGATTGATTGAGAAGGGCCGAAAGACCACCTGATTTAAACTTGTGCAGAAATGAAGGGGTCCTTGTGTAGGGCTAATAGTCCAGCAAATCCAGAACGCAGGAAGATATCAGATTTTTTGGCTTACCGAGAGGGCAAGAGTGCTAGAAAACGAGGACGACTCTTCGGCGGATGTGGAACGCGGTCATGTGATGGCCGACGCGTATTTCGAACAGCGGGGCAGTCTTGCCATACACCTTATTTCCGTCCTGCTATTTATTCCAGATGAAGAAATGATAATAGGATAGACAGACTTACTGGTGGTCAATAACCGTTTGTCGTGCCAAGAAGTGAGGTAGCTATTTGCTTGGGAGATATACGTTGTCCGTTGGCTGGAGCGTCTCGTAAATTTGGCTCGTATTCAATGGACCAATACTGACGTTACAACCGTCGTCATGGTGTTGTCCATAGCGGGATTGTATCAAAAACCCGATGGTATATAACATAGGCCGTCTTCCAGACTGGTCGTAACAACCAGGAGAGAACAAAGCAAGGATCGTAGCGATCTAAAAAGTGGTACTGCCAATATGTCCATGACTGAAAACCAGGGTGATATTTCATTCTGACCTTTCATAGCAATTGTAGAGCGTTGAACCCAGATTAGGAGCAAAAATAGCAGGCAGATAGTAGCATTTTCCTAAACGACAATTGTATCCGGTTTAGTTTATACGATCATGTTTTCAGTCTGAAAAATGAGATGAGTGAGACCAAAGTAACAGTAGAATTTTCTTACCGACTAAAACATGCCATAAAGCAGGGTACGTCTGCGTAGAATCAGGCCACACGGCGAAATAACCCTAGTCAGAGCATTTCATTGCAGCGAGATTGGTATTTGACTCTTGCCTACCGCTCGAAACAAATCATGATTCATTGAGATCAATCGCTACGGCCGTCCCGCTTCGAAAAAAGAGCTGTGGCTCACAAATCCACAGATTCTTGGAAAATAAACACTGTAGCACGAGAGCCTCGACAGGAAGGAGAATGGGGATGACACTGACCAAGAGCGAGAAATGAAGATCGTGGTCGAGAAGCAGAATGAATCGGGGATGCCGGTCCGCGGCATCGAACACGTGCGCTTGAGGGCAGGGCTCAATTTGATTTTCACGAAATCCCCGCTCTTCTTTCGACCCCTATATTTTCTTGGACCTTGTTTGACGCTTCCCATTTTCTCGCCCTCTGGATCTCGTTCATCGCTGCGGTATTACTAGACCGCTTAATTGGATGGAAAATGGAAGGACTGGGCTTGATAAGAATCGAGATAATTACGCGCTTGAGCGAAAGGCGAGCCTGAATGATCCGGGTACGCTTTTGCTGTATCTCGCCCTTTCTTTCTCGTTTATTCTTTTTGTTCAGAAGCTGCCACTACTATACAGGAACTGAACAGCGCTCTCAATCTCCGGGTCGATATACGCCTATTCTTCGTAGGTTGTTTTATTGCGGACATTCTTTCAAGGCTAGACCTGAACCGGTCCCTCTTCTTATGAGCCAAGCCTCACTAGAGGGACCTGTAAAACTCGCGCCGATCATGGCACAGACATTTACGGGCATTGCCGGTGTCCAAATTAGGGAGGCTTTTCCGGATTTAGGTTTTGGTGTAGCTACATTGCTTACATGTTGCGTCACGTCTATGTCCCTCGTCTATCTGTCGACAGCTTCATTTCTCACATAGAACCTCATTAAATGTCCCAAGATGTATTTAGACCAGAAAACTTCGCTTCAAACACGAATTCCTTGCCCATTCCCATTCAAATGTCCCCTGATTTGTTCTCCTAGTAGCAATCAGTCTTTTCTACTGATAATACTCATCATATACCTTCTCAGTCATATTTCTAGGCAATCAACTATCATGGCAGTACATTTATAAGGTGTTTTCACTGCTGTATTCGCCGCTTCGCCGCTTCGACGCTCAAGTTGTTTTAGTGATGATTCAGCGAGTCCCAAATCCGGAAACGCCTCCCTAATTTGGGCACCGGCAATACCCGTAAATGTCTGTGCCATGATCGGCGTGAGTTTTACCAAGCCCTCTAACGAGGTTCTCCTTGTTAGAGGGCTTGGTTACCAGGTCATTTCAAGGCCGAGGGTTGATAATGCTGCGACTTCAATAGCGTCAACGTCAAGATTGAGTAATCTACTAGAATCCTCCATCGCCATGGAAGGCGCCGTGATTTCATACTGTGAGAGTGCTAAAAGACGCGAACAGCACGGGAAGGACATCATCTTACATCGTGAGTGATCCAAGTTTCCGTCCACTGTCCTTCTCACCAGCTAGTCAGGCACCAGTACAACATCGACCAGGGTATCTTACGCGTACGGCAGCAAGCCCGTGCTGTCCTGTTGGCTGTCTGGCCGTCGGTGTTGTGTCTTTCGGGCCCTCGGGGACCCGATTCGTTTGCCTATGTACAAGCTAATTCGGCTGTGGTAGGCGTGTTGACTCCGTGAGTAACCTCCTGCCATGTTGTCTACATTTTATCAATAAAATCAGCTTCGCTCTGCCTCTGCAGTTCATCTTCAGAGATTTAATCTTCATCCATCTATAATTCCTGGTCGCCAAATCTTGAAAGATCAAAGGATACATATGGCCCTAGGGGGCTTCTTTGCCCTGCAGATCCATCCATTGGTTCTTGCCAGACATAATATCCAACACAACGAGCGCCTTGTGAGCCCGATACTAGGTTCTGAAGTTATAAGAGCGATCCTACCGACTAGCAGCGACTTTGTGCAAAATCCGTAAGTTTTCTTTGCAATCGGTCTTGACGCCCAGGTTTTACCTTGTCTCCAGGAGATACGACTGCCTTCAAGCGAGGGACATCTCGATTGTATATCGTTATCACCCAATGTTAGGTGTGCTGCCACCAATCTCTTTCTCATGTTCTGTTGAAGTAATCTTCTCTACTTCTCAGTCTTGACGTCGGACACGGCCCATAAAGCGCAGTTAGTTGACTATTTTGATTTGCGTCCTTGCCATTCTGGTTTTCTTCTGCCTTTAGTGTTCGCACGATGGCACGTCGAGATCCATGGCACCACAGTGCTTAGTTTTCTGTGGCGGTATATTGACGGAATCCTCGACGCTCGTCTTCTACGACCAGCTCGAGCAACTCACGTCGAAGAAGTACCTGCACCGAAGTCGTCGACATTGTGTACGAATGCTGGATACATGAATAGCTAACGGTGAATCCACATATACTACTCTCATTTTTCTTACTCAAACTGACGGAAGAATCTAGGTTCCTGTGATGCTCCGACGTCCATCTATGCGGCCAAATATCCAATTAGCGATTGTCATTTCTATTAAACAGGACCGTACCGACTTCCAGATCAACAGCGAAGGACTAAAAGAACGTCGCCAATCGTGGGAGAAAGGTACGCTTCGTTATCCTCTATGATTTCAGTCACTCATTTGCCTTTCTGCTCCAGTGCATGCTGCAATCTTCGTAGTATTTGTCGCTTCGAGTCCTGGCAACCGAAGTCACTGTCCTGCCTGGTGCGTGTCGGGAGGTACGAGGCCGTCCATCGTTATCAAAGGAACACCGTGTTACGATTTTGTGGCATCTCTGGGACCTTGGTTATCGACAAATGTTGAAGACTGCCCGCCACGACCACTGTCAGTCCTTTCAACCAAGCTTAGAGCCATTCGTCCCAGCTTCGTCATCCAAGCTCCCTCCCTTCCATACAGATGATTGAGCCATGTGTTTCGCAGACAGCTGGTGGACGATCGCAGTGTCGAGTGATAGGAGTATGTTCCTCGCCCTGTGGTCTCACATTGTTGGCTTATAACTACTTTTATGTCGACGTTGCTAATCTTCAACGAGTTGAAACTGGAATTTTTCCTTCAAGTTCGGAGCAGTGATGAGTGCGGAACCATTATGACCGCCTTACTTTACTCTTTCGCTTGTACGTAGCACAGAAATCCATCTCCTCGCTTGGCGCTCAATGAAGTTGAAAATCGTAATTCCCTCTTCCGTTTTTATTGAGGTATTACACGTCTCCATCGATTTTTTTCACGTATACGAAGTGAATGTGGTCGCATAGTCTTTGGCAGTGGAAGGGCTTGGATCCAAGACTGTCTTAGAACATCTCGGCCGAGGGACCGATAGACCCTATTCTTCCTTGTGCTATTACCATCTCCTACAAGAACGATATCTTTGTTGCAGTAAGCATCTCCTACCTATCTCATTATCTCAGCCTCTCTGACTTATCGTCTTGTTGATAAGGAAGATTAAACGAGACGCTCGCACAGATCATGGATTCAATCGAAATCAAATTATGCGCTGGACACATCCGAGCTGGTATACTTCCTCTGACTTACCCTCAGAGCTTTCCCCCTCGGGACGCCGAAATCCTTCAACTCCGAATCTGGACTCCTCTACCATAAATGCCATCACTTCCCAGATACCACTTCTTGATATTGAAGTGCAAACTCGTGCGAAGGAAATCGCCAAGGTCCAATCAGTGTTACAGTGTCTTGAACAGGAGTACGTTCAGACCGTAGCGGTTCTACATCGCAAAACATCCCTATTATCTCCCATCCGACGTCTACCATCCGATATTCTGCTGGAAATTTTTAGCCTGGCGGCTGATGATAGTGAAATCTGCTTGTCGTCGCCTCCATTTATCCTGCGCAGCGTCTGTTATACATGGAGAGTTCTTGTGCTGACCTCGCCGTCCCTTTGGTCTAAAGTGAAAATCAAAATAAGCAATACCCGGGATGTCAGGGAAGCATACAATAAACAGCGACTCCTCCGCACCGCCTTTTCTCTTTCGGGAAAGTGTCCCCTTAATATATCAATCAAGAGCTTTGGGATCATCCCAGATACAAGGGAGTTGACGTTGATCCAACAGTGCCTCGTTCCAACATCTGATCGGTGGAAATCCCTTTATCTGCATATCCAATATCCAGAGAACATCATTAGATTTTTCGATATCTCAGGACGCTTCCGAATGCTAGAAAGCCTGGATTTAACGTTTCTTGACCACCAACCAACACCACAGCGTTTTTATGAGGGACTTTCCAAACTTTTCTGTTCCACCCCTGTATTGCGTACCGTCAGAATTTCCGAAATTTCCGACTATGTCTTTTGCAAGTTATCGCTCCCTCTTCATCAGCTCACGAGCCTCGACGTTGATCTCGAGCATTACTGCACTTCTGGCCCACCGTTCCCGTTCTACAACTGCATCGCGAGAGGGACGGAACTGGAGTCGTTCACCTTGCGTATGTTCCATAACAGTTCTTCTACGCAGCAACTATCAGGGCCATTCCCCGAAATCATCCGTCCAAATGTTCGACGGTTTTCGTTGACATACCACATTCCTACAACCTTGAAATATTGCACATTTCCGGGGTTGGAGCAGGTCACTCTTTTCACTTCCTTTGCTGATCGTGAATCCGCACCGATTATACCAACGCATGAACTTGCAGTGGTCTTCGAATTTCTGAAGCGGTCAAACAGTCGACTTCGATCGCTTGCCGTGTACAGACCTATTCCTTTCCCTGCATTTAACAACTTCGCCAAGGAAGTGTTTCCGTCCCTCACGGATCTCGTCATTTCCGTGAACGAAGAAACGTCAACTGAAGTAATTCAAAGATTGGCGGATCCATCTTTCATCCCATGTCTTCGGCACCTGTCTTTGCATATCTGCCTTCCGGTGATATCATTATTCAAAGACAATTCCCTAATCTCTATGGCTATATCCCGGCACAACTACAGGCTGAAATCGCTGGATTTGTCCATTTTATCCGCCGGATGCTTGAAGTACCGTGGCTCGAGCACTATGCTTGACTGGCCGAAACATCTGTTGCAAGCGTATAAGCTGAAGGAAGCTGGATTAGGCGTGACTTTCCTACGAGCGGGAAGAAACTTATTTGCTGATGAAGATACGTTAAATGAGCTTACAACATGGCTCAAGGACTGGAATGCACCACAATCCATGTTTAACTTGCAGAACATGTAAATTTACTTCAAAGTAGTCGTCTTAGGGGACATGTTTCGCGTTATGAACGGTATGAGATCGGAACAACAGAGAGAAAGGTCAGTAGCTTCTATTGGCAGATATTACAACGGAATTGCAATATTATTCGTGCTCCAAAATATGTACCAGAAAGCCATCTGGGTCCGCCACATGACATACTCGTGCACCGCTGCCATGAATCCACTTTTGGACCTTAAAAGAATGCTCTGAGCTTTCTACCAGTGCAGTCTATTCAACGTTGGACCGTATCCTCAGAGCTCGACAGAAACCTACGGAAACACGGTGTCCGGCCCAGCGGCCCGGTCGAAGGTCTTCCTTTTTTAGCTTTTACTTCCACCAGGGCAGTCGTCGACCTCGCTGTTCGAGGACACCAACGGCAACTGGGTCGAGGTTCCTTCATTATTCCTTACAGGATATATTGTGAACATTGGTAAGTACCCGGTGACTGTCTCCGTTGGTCCCCGCCGGCGGCCTATGCTGCGCTCGGTGCGCATATATTCGCACAAATTCCTGCCTTACCTGACGATAGCCTAATTGAATAATGTTTTTACACCGTATTATGTCTACAGATGCAGCATTTTGTGGTATAAGTGATAGAAAGTAAGTGCTACGCTTTTTTCAGGCAGCTGTAAGCATAATACCGCATTTCATTTTTGTTGCCGACAGATTCCGCACGCTTTCTTGCGCATATATTCACTTAATTGCCCACTTTACCGATGACAGCTGGAGACCGCTCGATTCGGTGCATTTTCTACTACCGCAGTGCAACTATGGGCGCCGTGGCTGACGGTATGAGTTATGGTACGTCCCACGCCCTTTGTCGTCGTTAGTGACTCACGCACTCGCAGTCATTTGAACCCATTGTCATAAGTGCACGGCGACGTCGCTACTCCTCCTCCTCCGGAATTACAAGATATATTCCTGGCTTGTTATCCTCTTTATATTTTATCGCAGCTTCCATGTTAGAAAATCTTCAGTGAGCTGTCGTCGGAGCCTTTCACCCCATTTGGCTCAAGGGGGATTTCCCGCAGCACTGCCAAGCTAATGAGACTGGCGGATTTTCTAAGCCGTCGCCCCTACAGTCACCCACGTTTCGCGTGGAAATAACACCGATGTTGGTGTCGTTATGGGAGTAGCTGCAGTTGCTGGTGATCCGCGGAGGTCCGAGGAATGTCACCAATAGGATGCTGGTGGTATGTCATATAATTCCGTGCAAAATTCATCTTAGTCACGCCTGTAGGTCTTGCAGGCTTTTGTTTATGGTAATAATGACAATCTCACTAACATGTATATTCCTGTCAGCGCGATTTCTGTCATATGAGGAGGTGGGTCCAATTCCGATATATGTAATAGCCGACCTGCGCACGTCAATGGGGCTTGTTTTAGTGAACGGCGATATTTTCCAGATCATTCATGCTTGTGTTTTGGCATACCCACTCAGAAGGCTTGGCACTGTCGGCAAAATAATGGATTAAATGCTTGGAGGACCTTTGAAAGAGACTGCGGATGCTGCTGCGGGAATTGATTCATTGACTTCGAAGGTATACGTACCTGGGACTAAACGGTGCATGTTGTCAGTCGATCAAATGTGAAGGGGTGTCCCCGTTTCTCCTTCCCTATAAGTGAGATTTAGGCTTCCGAATTCCACCCTCGATTTTCACCAATCCACTAGCTTTCATAGAGCGAGAGATAGACATTATCACGATATTTGGACGCAGCACAGAAAGTAAAAATCTATTTCAACCCTAGCTTCGTACAGCCTGCACTGTCAGTGAAGAAGGCTTACTCATTTGATTCAGGTAATATTTATACAATTCCATTGTGTAGCGTTTGGAAGCCTGTCAACGGAGCTCAATCATACTTCAACCTCTCCTCTCAGTCCGGCGGTAGACGGCGTCCCTGCGCATTTGGTAACAGTAAGCCAATGAGGAATATGTTATTTGTCGGAATGTGGGCATCATTCAAGGAGGAGGATTTTCTTGATGTGAAGGGACGATAACAGCGTTACAGTACCATCCTTGTAAGCTATTTTTCTTGGATTACTTCTGTATTGTCTCATTGATTCATTGACTCGGCGTCGATCCTAGGTATGCTACCTCGACGATCCAAAGACGATCAATAGGTGTCGTTGCAAGATCGCTGTCGTCATTGCCTTCAGCACATGTTCGAAGGTTTTTCTCCGGTTACTTTCCATCAAGAGAGTCTACAGCCTCCGATCGAAGGCCAGAACACCCAATTAGTGTTGATAACTTCTAGCCAATAGAACGTCAAAGAAATGGAACCCAACGTTTCTGCATTTTCGTACGAGCTGCGGACGGTGGGGGTATATAACCTTACACTTTTCTTGGTCTAATAGTCATCTTCAGCATGCTCTACCTCACTTCTCTTGTCTCTGCTGCTCTTCTCGTCGCTAACAGTGTCGTCGGACACCCCGGCGAAGCTCCTCCGACTTCATTCGAGCTTAGTCGTCGTGCTGAGCTTGAAATGGTCACCCGCCGTTCCCTTGCGGATTGTCAGAGCCATCTTGCTCGACGTGGATACACAGACAAGACTGCTGCTCGTCGTGCCGCGCTTGCTGAGGAGCTCCGACAGAAGCGTGGGCTTGCGACTCGTTAGTATACCTCCCCCGCCCTCACTTTCTACTGGTCTAATCTCATCTTCAGGCGCTCCTTATAAACGCGCTCTTACCGTGGAAGAGGTGGTGGGTACTAGCCACCTGGCAAATGTGACGGGCCTCGATCCCTTTACGTCGAACTCGTCTTGTGTGGTCACTCCCGAACTCGATCTTGGCCCATACTACGTACAGGGAGGATATGTCCGCTCAGACATGCGTGAAGACCAGATCGGAGTTCTCGCATACGTCGACATAGAGTTAATCGACGTCTCCACCTGCGAGCCCATAACCACCGCCTATCTCGATGTTTGGCATTGTAACGCGACTGGTGTCTACGGTGGAGTCGTTGGGAATGGTAATGGCGATGAGAATGACGCGAGTAACTGGGTGGGTCAAAACCATTCGTTTAAAGGTTTCCTCCGTTCTGACATTTCTTTTTTAGAATAACACTTTCCTCCGCGGTATCCAGCAGATGAATGACGAAGGATATGCTCAATTTGAAACTATCTTCCCCGGTACGTTCGTTCACTATCTATTTCTTTACTTCACGGACTGATGGGTTTTCAAGGACATTATTCTGGACGCACTACTCATTTCCACATGATAGTCCATGAAAACGGAACGCTTTTCGACAATGGTACCTTCTCATCAGACACTACCCAACATATTGGTAAGCCTTGTGATATCACTTCCTCCTCTATCCGATTACTAAAACTATCGCAGGCCAAGTGTTCTTTGACCAAGACCTCATCAACTCTGTTGAAGCGACCTCTCCCTACACCAGCAGCACCTATTCCATAACATTGAACGAAAATGACCCCGATTTCGTGTCGGCTGTCACGCCTGAGACTGGAACCGGCGTTGACCCCGTTTTGGACTATGTCTACCTCGGCGACGACCTCTCGGACGGTCTCCTTCTGTGAGTATCTATTATCATCTTCTCTCTTCTCTGGTACTGATGCCTGTCGTGCAGCTGGGGTACAGTCGGCGTTGACCTTACAGCTAGCTACGAGGCTAATCCCGGAGGTTATCTTACTGAAGCCGGAGTTGTCGAAAACACCGATTCCCGTGCCAATGAAGGGGCTTCTGGCATGAATGGTACTGATGCTGGCTCTGACGGATCGGATGGCACCACTACCACTACTGACAGTGAGAGTAGCTCTACAACCCAGCTGATATGCACTTGTTCCTCGATTTAGATGCTGGGATTATTCAGTTGTGGAAAGATAGTACTCGTAAAAACGCTTGTTATTATTTGAAAATGCTAGTTGACCATCCATTCTGCTATTCCCAATTCCGTAAACCATTCATGCTCGCACATCTCTGTCTCTGTTGCAAGGAAGAAATGAACCGCGCTACTCTGCAAATTGAATGCGACCTGCGCAGCAGCGATTGAAAGATAATGCGGAGGTACCGCCGAATGGGTAACATCCTGAAGAACCAGTACTTCTGGCTTCAGCACAAGCGGAATACATTTTACCCTTTGAAAAGTGTTCCTATTTCTACACATGTTAAGAAATACGGGCTTAAGAAAGTTCCCAGAGATTTGACGTAGGCTCAAGCCGAGGGACCTCAGGGACTGCCTTCGGCTCAGCCATCACCTTATATCGATGTTATCTCTCTCGTTCCGCTCATCAATCCTGGCCTGAAAGTTCAACGGACAGGTATATTCAAAGGGGATTGTAAAGTAAAGGCATCAGTGGACAAGTTCAAACATGAACGCAATCACAACGCAGGTACGCGTCGAGTTACCAGGAGAGCATCGCGACGAAGATGGTGTTGGTGTTGGTGTGGTCGGACTGAGTCAGTGACAATTTGAAATGATCGCGACGCGTTGTGATCACGTGTTTCGACTGAACAGGAATTTGAAAATTCCATCCCGCTCTTCCCTCTTCCATCATCTTAAATCTTTTGCTCGGATCGCCCTCATACGTTCCCATTTCCACCATTACAATGAGCCTTCTGACCACTCTGGATGTCTTGGCTACAGAGATGACTGATTTTGAAGAATTGAGCTTAGAAGAATAGAGACATGCTCGAGCGATAGAACTTTGGGTATGCTTCAGCTGTGAATCGCGTATCCTCTCACGGATGATTTTATCTGTCACTGGTACAGAGCTCTGGTTTCTGACGCTGAATTTCTGTTTCTTTAAGCAGTCACGCCACCACCGACGAAAATGGAACTACAAGATATCGGAACAGACAAAATTCTACAAGACAATTACCTGGCTCAGCTCCGGCAAACACCTTGAGAGACTTTTTTTTCCTTTAGTCACGGCCAAGGCAATCGGTCCGCCTTCGTGAGATGGCGAAAAGATAAGAACGACAATGGCAGGCGGGATTTTCACTTCCGTGGGTGACTGTATTCGCTTCTGGTCGACTTTGCTTATCACATCACTCAGTACCGATTTATAATCTTATTGTTTACCCATATCCTTAGATGAGTGTACACGGACCCGAATGCTGTCTTTTCGTACTCAGAAATGGGATTTCCCTAAGAATATTGTATTGGTCATCGTGCGGGCTGATTGTGGGTTCCCTCTTATTGTCTTATACCTTCCTTACCCATGAATCAGGAACATTTCGGCACCTCCCTTCTACTATCTACGACTGCTGGTGTCAAGTAATCGCGTAGCACATAGGCTTTCACTATAAATACGGAGATCCAGCTGCCAACACTTATGCTTCATCATCTACCGAACACTATACGGCTCTTGGGAGCTCAAGCGCTCATTGGCAGCGCAATGCTGTCGGCTGACCCTCGAGTCATATGGGTAGCCAGTCGCGAACCCGATACACGAGGACAATTCTACCGACAAGCCATGGTTTCGCTCGGAACTCGTGAGATATCTTAAAATTTGCCCTGCTTCCCAAGGCCCAACGCGTTTCCGGAAGAAACGACCACGCACTAGCGAAACGCATAAATTCTATTCCATGACGGCCTCATTACTTAGCTTGAGGTAGGCAGCTGATGGTCCTTTGTGTACTTGGCTTACGAGGTCATCTTTTATCTACTTTTAGCCTTGAAGTCGAATACGGCTGACAATTTCCAGTAATATCTCCTTTCCCTTTCCCTTTCACTTCATTATTGTAAATTTATGCTGCTTTTAGGATACCTGGCATCAGTACACCAAGAAAATAACTGTGTCCGCGGAAGCGTGTTCATCGCACCCTCATCCACGTTTGGTTCCAGGTGATGGCATGCTTGTCGGGACCCTGAAGGACCGGAACGTCCGTTTTCTCCATTACCAGACAGAGAAAGAACCTCATGTTAGATGGAAGCGGTATGTCTGTATTCATCCAAGGACTACTGCTACGCCTCTGTTCTGATCAGTGCATCAGGGTTTCCGCTGCAGTCATCGACTACAATATCGCGTTCGACTTCCGGATGGACGTTTCGCAAATGGCAAGCACATGTACTTCGCCTTGTATATTCCAGTGCGGTCTCAACGTTTCATCTACTTGGTCTCGATTGATGTATGACTCAAGCTAAGTTCCTTCCTGCGACTAAATCACCTCAACGCACTATTGTCTATCCAGTTTCAGGAATTTTACACCTGGAACAGCAATATAAGGATCGTAGTGTTCAATGCTATTGACGCGTGCAAGATTCTTTGGTACGCCGGTTTGTCATGTATCGTTCTTTCTTTTTCTCATCTCGCCATCAGAAACGTGCACCGTCTAGCAAATGATTGCTCATCTATCAGATATCAGCAAGGAATCGCGGCTCCATTAGAGGCGAGCACCTTTAAAGCCAAGCCTTAGCCCTGTGAGGTCGCAAGGAATTCCGAATCACTGCGCGAGAACTCTGAGAATTTGTAGCTCATGACGGACCCCGACATCGCAGCCATGCGTTGGCTGTTGGAGAGGTGTCTCCGAGTTCCGTACCGGTGCGACCCATCGCAGGGATCGCAGCCTAATGGCGATCATCAGAGATCGACATAAACCACGGTTCCCGGGAACAACGGGCCGGTCCGAGGTCTCTTTTCCAGTTACCGCCATCAGTCCCTAATAAGTCCCAGAGCGCATGCGTTCAAGTGGCCATAGCAATCATCGGCCTGGGGAATCAACCACTTGTACGGAATTTTGGGCTAGTTTTCTTCAGGTTTTCCTCTTCGGACAAACTGACTGTCCTCGCCTATACGTACTGCGCTTCGTGCGCATATATTCGCTCAAATGCCTGATATTTCGCGTATACATGGTTATTTCTAATATTTTTACACTATAGAACATCTACGGAGTTGCCGCTTGTGGTATGGCTGTTAGAAGGTACGTGCTACGCCGTTTTTCCCCATCCTCGGTGCCAGCTCATGCATCTAACAGTCTCTTGCATTTGCGTGCCTGCGCCACCATTCACTTAATCTTTGTTCTCAGTCGATTCAGCATGTTGTAGATCAATCCACCCAGGTCTGCCGTATTTTGGCGCGCCCACATTCACCTAAATCCCCATTTTGCCGATTACAGCTCGCGGCCGCTGGATTCGACGTTTTTTCTATTGTGGCAGTGATGCCGTGGCAGATGACCTTACTGATACCCGGTACGCTCCACATCCTATGTCGTTGTTAGTGGCTCATGCACCTACAGTAATCTCGTTTGAACCATTTTCATAACTAGAAACGTCGCTACACGCGTCGATTATGAAAATATATTTATGGTTCAGTGTCCTCTTATAATTTATCGCAACTTCCAGAGTAAAGGTGAGCTGTCGTCGCAGTCATTCGCCCCATTTTATTCATTATTCGTATTTCGGTAATTTCTCCGCAGTGACGCCAAGCTTTTTCTTAAAGATTGCGGTAGCTTCTAAGTCGTCGCCCATGCAGTCATCCACCGTCCGCGTGCATGAACTGGGGCCACCGTGAGAGTCTCATGGCCATCTCTAACAGAATGCATCTGATTGGATGTTGTTGGTATGTCAGGTGTTTTCGTGCGGCATTGAGCATATATCTCAGTACGTGCTTTAGGTACCGTAAGCTTTTTTATAGTAATAATAATGTTTTGACTGACGTTTGGATTTTTGGGGGGCGCAACGTCAAAGAGCCATGCCTTGGTGCACGGCGGCATTCCAAGATCAACTGGCTCCGGTATGACCATACCTGTATCAGAAAGGTTGGTCTTGGCACCATCGGCATATCAATACACCAAACTTTTGGAAGACCTAACGAGCAGACTGCGGATGCTGCTGCGGGGATTGATTCATTGACTTCGAAGGTATACGTACCAAAGCGCGCATGTTGTCAGTCAATCAAACGTGATGCCAAGAAAGAAAAACAGTTGAGGTTTTCCCGTTCCTGCTTCCCTGAAAGGCACATACAGGTTTCTGAATTCCTCTCTCAACATGCACAAATCGAATGGTGAGAAGAGATATCAGAAATCATCGACCTTAGCCTCGTATGTACTACGTGTACGCTTATTCTCTTATTCATCTGACTCTAGAAATATTTCGTGCAGATATTATTTAATGTGAATTTGGAAGTCTGTTCGGTGTTCAAATTAAACGTCACTCAGCGCTTCCTCGCAGATCGGTGGTGGACTGCATCCCTGTGCATCCGGCAAAAAGGGAGAAGCAAATGACAAAAATGGCATTTGTCAGCATTCGAAGTAGATGGTTTGTCCAGTGTAGTGTCGCTATTGAAGATATAATTCCATAAGTGTGCGCTCTTTTTCTTGCATTTCTTCTGTGTTTCCCCATCGGGTCACCGACTGAACCTCGGCTTTAGGTAATAGGTATGCGAAACCGACTAGGCTCGCATGTCCACCGGTGACATTGCAATATGACTGTTGTCATTGGCTTCTGCGCATGTTTTTTGCGTTTTCTCCGAAAACCTTCCATCAGATCTGCACAGCGCATCACGATGGTCTACAGCGTCCGCCGGGAGGCCAGAGCACCTAACCAATGTCGAAGATCTTCAGCCAATAGGACATCGCGGAATGGGCAACCAGCATTTCTGTCATTGGCATACGAACTGCGGACGGTGAAGCTATGTAACCTTACACTTTTCCTCCTCGAAGTCTCATCGTCAACATGCTCTACCTCACTTCTCTCGTCTCTGTCGCTCTCCTCGTCGCAAACAGCGTCGTCGGTCACCCCGGAGAAGCACCTCCGACTTCAGTTGAGCTTACTCGTCGTGCTGAGCTTGAAATATCCACCCGTCGTTCCCTTGCGGATTGTCAGAGCCACCTTGCTCGACATGGATATGCGGACAGGTCGATCGCACGTCGTACGGCGCTCGCTGAGGAGCTCCGACAAAAGCGCGGGCTTGCCACTCGTTAGTAGACTTTTCCTTTTGTCGTTTTTATTCATTTACTAATTTTGACTCTCTTTGAGGTTCTCCTTATAAACGCGCTCTTACCGTCGATGAGGTCATTAGCACGAGCCACCTGTCGAACGCGACAGGCCTCACCTCGGACTCAGATCCCTTCACCTCCAACTCCTCCTGCGTGCTTACTCCCGAGCTCGAGCAGGGACCCTACTATGTTCAGGGTGAATACGTCCGCTCAAATATGAGGGAAGACCAGACTGGAGTGCCGACCTACGTCGATATCGAGTTAATCGATGTCTCCACTTGCGAGCCTTTGACCGGTGTCTACCTCGATGTTTGGCACTGTAACGCCACCGGGGTCTACGCCGGTATCGTCGCGGAAGGCAATGGCGATTCCAGCGTTGAGGCTAACTGGGTCAGTCCTCAATCCGCTTCATTTCTCCTCCCCTCTTTGACATTTGTTTCGTAGAACACAACTTTCCTACGCGGTATCCAGCAAATGAACGACGAGGGATACGCTCAGTTTGAGACTATCTTCCCAGGTATGCCTGTTCTCTATCTACTCCCCTCCTTTCTGATTGATGGCCTTCCAAGGACACTACTCCGGACGTACCACCCACTTCCATATGATGGTCCACGCTGATGGAACAGTCTACGACAATGGTACCTTCAAATCTGACGGCCAGCAACACGTCGGTAAGCCTTGTTATATATCCGCTTCCTGATCCAGCCACTAAAACCCCTACAGGCCAGGTCTTCTTCGACCAAGACCTCATCACCGCCGTCGAGGCTACCTCTCCTTACAGCTCGAACAGCATTGCCATCACTAACAACGAAGATGACCGCGTATTCGTTGCCGGTGTTGTTCCCGACAGTGGAACCGGTGTTGACCCAGTCTTGGAGTACGTATACCTCGGTGACGACCTTTCAGGCGGTCTCCTTCTGTGAGCATATTTCACCATTGTTCGTTCTTCGCTGTTACTGATACTTTTCGTGCAGCTGGGGTACAGTCGGTGTCGACTTGACTGCGAGCTACGAGTCTTCTCCTGGAGCTTACTTCACTGAAGCTGGAGGTATCGTCAACGAAAACGCGACTGCTATCGGTGTGAATGGGGCAGCACCTAGCGGCAATGGTACTGATGCCGGCTTTGGAGGAAACGGCACGACCACAAGCACTGACAGTAGCTCTACGGTCCAGCTGCTCTGCACTTGTTCTTCGGTCTAGTTACGCTCATTCATTAACAGAGTGGTCTCAAAATTGCTTATAATCATTTAAATACTTAGTAGAATATTTGTTTTGATAGTCTCAATGCCAATTATCGTTCATCTTCGGTGTGCTACATGTGTTCAGCGAATAAAGGTCGTGCAAACACGACGGAATTCGCGCATGTCTGACGCTTTCAGACGTGGAATTCACAAAAAGAAAGGCGTGTATTCTTTGGCCTTTGTCAACACCGAGGAGGACTGATAAGTCGATATAACAGAAGACCGTTGTAGTCGCAAATACCAAGATTCAAAACACTTTGAACAGCTCTTCGAGTGGGTAGGAAACGCGTTCTGTTCGATGGAATAGAGACCTTAAAGGCTTCTTCAGAGCGAAGGGACAAATTTATGTGTCATAAGAAAGAACGATGAGGATAAGCATTAGTTGACAGGTGAGTGCTGGTACGGCAACAGCAACAGAGCCCCGGTCATAGAGAAAACGAAAGGATGGGCAAGGGCGGTGGGAAACAGTCCATGGTAGCGTAATGGTATATTGGTGATGGTAATATAGTGCAACATGAATCAGTCTAGATATATAATAATAAAACAGTCGTGCGATCATCTGGCAAATGGACAGTTGTCGCAAAAGTCTAGCAATTTGAGAGCAACTCTGAAGATGTAGGTAGATACCTGTATGTACGAGACATATTTGACAGGTTCGCAAATTATAATTTTTATTCCAATGCGATATCCCCGGTGAAATAGTAGTTGGTTATTGTACTGGAGGGTGTCGTTGCGTTGTTGTTTTCCAGCTTCCTAGGCTGTAGAAATCATGACTGGCAGTTCCTGTCCGTAGGCGACATGCGTATCGACGGCTGGGTTACTGGAGTGGGAGAAACATGGAGAGCGTACTAGTCAACCCATCATTCTCTCATCAAAAACAGCCAAAGTTTTATCAGGAAGACACGGGAAAATGGTTGTTACAGAACAGTAAATTATATGGTTGAGTTAGCAGCGGGATGGTCTCGCCAGGTCTAAGGGTAAGGAAGGAGAAAAGATAAATAAACACGGACAGTGGCGGCCCTGGCGGGTAAACGCGCGTCGCGCCCTTTAGTGCCCACGTGACTGGAGGGATACGAACACGCCGCCGGCATTTTGGTTGATCTTCTACCAGTGGCACCATCATCACGACCTCGACGCGCAATACAGCAATGGATTCGTCACCGGACGGCTCTTCTATAATCTTCGCCACCGATGCACGTAGAATATTCCACGATTCCTTTTCCTTTCCTCGGTAATTACTCAACGACCAGCAAAACTGGTAAAACTGGAGAGAATTCACAAAACACTAGGTGACATGGTGCGTAATCTACTTTTTTTTCACAAAGTGCGCTCATTGTCGTATACTGTAGTCTTATCTCGCTGCATTGTAGGGCCTAGGTCGTACCATCGCGAGAAAATTTTTGTAGAAGAACAACCGAGATTTTTGGGTTTACCGATTTTCAATAGCATTCTCAGGCATCAGCGACCTTTCTCTTGCAAGGTAGACGGTGTTGCGCCAGGCCGGGAAATCGCGTTCGAGGTGTTCAGGGAAGTCCGTCGTTGCAGGAGACGGGGAATGGCTGCGGCTATCGATGCACATGGGTTCCATGAAAAAGTGTGAGTCCTCAATCTTAGCTTCATCCTGCTAACTTTGCGATATCTGATTACTCGAATAGCGCGTACCGTCTTTGTTTCCATGCGCTTAATGTTGTCATCAGTCCCAGTATGAATCACCAACTTTCCCGCTGCCTTCAAGGACCAGCGCCCAGCTTGTAACTCATTCGCCACTACCGCACCTACCTCTCGAAGGCTGTTAGTTGGCCTGCGGGATGCGCTGCGGCGGGTAACTATCTTATGGTTCTATACAACATGCGAACCACCAACGGAATATTTCGCTTTCCACATAATTTGGATACCAAGAAGCTGGCGATGCGTTGATTTGCAATCAGACTGCGTCTCTTTCCAGTAGACTGTTGCAGGAGCGTAGCTTAGGGAAGCGTCCCGGCAGCGTCACAATGCCACCTAAGACTTAGTCCCGGGATGAACGCCACCTGAATGGGCCGCGCCAAATATATGACTCGGTACCGATCTTTTTCTTGACCGGTTTCTCTATCCAAGGTTGTTGGATATCGAGCTCGTGGCTCGCATGTTTATTGGTAATCAGTCACGTGTACGTATCGGTAAAATTTCGTAGCTACGCTTTTCTCTTCTTTACTCGATTGACTACGTACTCACTGCTCATGTACTGCGTCAATCCCGTATTCGTGTCCTGATCCCTCGTGTGCTTCCATACCCGCTAGGATTATTTCAACAAAGGTATATTTCCATCGCCGCAACGGTACGTACACTTTTCGCGCCTTCCCACTTTTCCTGATCTTTTTCTTGCAGAACTTCTGTCGGATATTCACTGTGCGGCAAATAAAACCTATTGATTGGGGACAACATCCTCACTGGCGGTCTACTCACGGATCGCCATGAGCATCATGATGAGGTAGGCTGATTTCCTCTGCCCCAGTTTACGTAAATGTTAAACCAGCACTGTTATAGAGGAAAGAAAAGTAAAATGAACGACGACATAGAATGCCGCTGGATCGTGTTTCTAGACCATGGTTGTTTACGTTAGCAGATTTCTGGAAACAGTGATTCCGTTCTAATCCAATGGTCGATCTCATCAGGACGGTTACTGGCTCGATGCAAGATCAATTTCTCAAAATTGCTGGTTGGTTATCTAATGCTAACTGGCGCGAAACATCAGACGTCTTTGGGTGCAAGGCCTGTCAACGCTAGAAGCTCCTGATCATAACGCAATGGCGGCATGTGATGCGTAGAGTGCTTCTTGCGTAGATCTCGCAACGTGACCCACCCTCGAAAGAGTCGAACCACTCTAGGAACAAACACCAATGATGATTTTCGTACTGAAGCCTTGATGCTACGACAGGACAACTTTTTTGCTGCTCCGGTGTCGAATCTGCTGCATTTTTTGCCACGATATCTGGTATATATGCAGCACAGATTCGATGTCACGGCCAACGTGAGCTACTACTTCCTTGATATCTTTCTGCATAAGAGATTCATCGAACGTATTTCCGTCGTGGAGTGGCATTTCTAGTTTTACCTTTCTGGACTATTCTGACATTTTTCTTACAGAAGTAAGACAATGATCACCGTCCGATAGATCAGCAGAACGTATCAATGATCAACGGCATCCTCAAATCGACGAGATTTCGGCAGCTCACATTTTCCCTGATAGTGCCGAACATCCGGAGAAGATTCACGTCATATGAGGATTTTGAAGGTTGGTTTTCTTCATGCTAGTTTATGTATATGTTGGTCGAGTAGCGTTTTAGTGATTTTACTGTCTAGATGGAGTCAAATGGGTACTGAGACGGGTAAATTGAATCTTGTACGTGTATTTATCATACACTCAATACCACCTGATCTGAGTGTTTTGGCCAAGATGATCCTGCATTGTCTGTTATCATTTTGGAGCGCCATAATAGTAAAATGCTCGAAACGACGGCGATTCTGCCCTGGTTATCTTATCTCATGGCACGGCTCGTATGGAACGCTATCAGGATTACCTCTCAAAATCACTAACTGGAGCTCTACCAGGTAGCACCCTGTCTTGCGCACCGTCGCCTTGCTTTAGCGCCACGGATCACTCCTCCAGGAAATGCCGAAGCGTTCCATACTCGAAGGAATCCGTGAAAAGCGATCGTGTCTTTCACAGGGTTCACGAACGTCGAGGGTCGAGATAAGGTGCTGATAGGCCCAGTCATACTAATATCTTGTATAGAGACTGCTTGCGACGCAATATAATTGTATGCTTGCATGTCGCACGTATATTAAGGGCTGTGGATCAGACAACACCGCACGAAGAAACATATCGGTGACCGTTATAGCGAGCGGGTATTCAAAACCATCTGTCCACCTCGGACTGAATAACAGGAACAGCGATTTGCGAACGAAAACATTGAGAAATGCCTTATTCTGTAGATTTTCTAAAGGACATGCTTCGATAATTAGAAAGGGAAATGGCAGTTACCGACACCATCCAACCCTCAGTACGATGAATTTATGGTTGGGACCGTACTCTGGTCTATCCGACTCGACGATCTACACGAATACCATCCTCGTCAATCAGGTAACCATCCGCTCGCTTCCCCACGCGAGCCTTTGGGAGATCCTCCAGAATGATACACTCAGCTGATTCAACGCCAATATCTTCCTCAGAGTCCGCCAGAGTTCGATGACTATATTCATCGCCTCTCTCCCGCTGGGCTTCAAGATCTTCAATCCCAGAGCTCTGAACCCCAGAATGACTACCAAAACGGAGTGATCCCGAGATTACACTTCCCTGCCACGAGTCATCTGGGCGGGCGTGACCTGCTGCGACACGCCCTACAAGGAGTGTCGGAGCAATTCCCTATATGATTATTGTTAAATGTGAAGAGAGAGAGATATATAAACATACCCGTGCAATTGCCGCTAAGGCATCGAGGTACATGATTGAAATGGTATTGCGAGCAAAGAAGGCGGTGCATAAGATCAAGGCTATTGAATAAAGAGCTGATGACTCGATCAAGACCTCGAGGACGTGGCGGTAAGCTCTGAGTCCACCTCCCGCTTCGCCTGCTGCCAGTGCGACAGTGACAATTTGGTAGATGATTAATAAGGTGCACCACAATGTCGTGGCAAGGACACAGGATGAATAGGGCGTGAAAAAGTGAGGGTAATCATCCGGAAAAACATATAGTTGGTACGTAGCAATACTTTTGAAGACTGCACTGAGCTGTAAGTATATTAGTAATAGAAGACCTGTGTGTTCATACCAACTGCGGCGATAAGAGAAAGAATAGGGGGCAGAATAAGCAGCCACCGCCGTCCCCAGACGGTCCAACAACGCCAAATCTGCAACCGGACCAATAGTAAGCACATTTGAAATAGGGATGTGCACCGTATCCGTAGTACGGTGGTTACGTACGGTGTATACGGATGCGGGTCCGTACCGTGGATGACTTTAACGACCCAAAATACGGCCGTATTCATACGGTTTGAATACGGTCATTGAGGGAGGGACAGATAACTATCTTATTCCATAAAGGTCAGTACCTATGACCTAAAAGAAGCATATAGTACTCACACTTTGGCACCAGATACCCATCGTCGTCGTCAAAGTGTCCGTATACGGACAACGGTACGGACACGGTACGGATATGACATCAACCGTACCGTACCGTGGCCGATAATTTTTATACGGTCTACGGCCGTATTGCTACGGTCGTATCCGTAACGGTACGGTGCACATCCCTAATTTGAATCAGCTTCGCACTACTACGCACAATAGTGGAGTCTGCAAGGATGGTGCAGATCGCAGCTGTGATACCTGTGCCGACCGTTATCATTGTATTGGACCTGTAATAAAACAAAAATCCTGTCCAGAAACTCCATCCATGATCAACAAATTGAGAGCATGTGAACAACCAATTGACCACAAAGTTGAATGTCATGACAATATGGAGAAGTATTATAATGACAACCATCGCTCGTCCGATGGGCTGGGACTTGTTTGTAACTATGATGTCATTCGACTCAGTTTGTATAATGTAGTAGGCATGCTTCCCTTACAGATATTCCACAGCACGACGGCAACAATCCCAGTATATATGCCTAGACTCAGTCATGATTAGACGCATGTACCTAAACAAATGACCAGACGTACCTTGCAATAGGGAGTCAAGTATAGTTCCATTCAAGTCTGCATCGAGTGTTTGCAAAATGACGGCTTTAAGGTCATCGGAAATGTCTGATGGAATATTGGCTTGAGCGGCCATCACGCAGTCCGAGTGAAGGTAGGATAGCACGTGAAGGATAATGTAGACCGCATCCCTCCTTATAGTGTACTCTGTCCCAGTAAAATCCCTTCACAGGTTAACAAGATGATCAGTACATCAAGAACGTCATCCCGAATCACTGCCTCAGCAAAGGGAAAGAAAGGCCTCTTATAGGCTCTCTATTCTTATACACAACAGCATCCAGTGATTTGATCACAAGAACAGGTATTAGAATATAATGAACATCTTCGTCATGATGAAAAAAGAAGTGTTATCAAGGCACTTGGTACAGGAAACTCTATGAAATTCAATTAAAATTCCACTGAGTACGTGTAACATATTCTTCATATCATGTCGCAAGGGGGAAAAACAACCATCCTGATTCTCTGATGTAGATCTCGTCGTGGCGATGCTCATCATCCTGCATGCAATAGCTTGTTCCACAAAGGATCATCTTCAAGATCAATATATGAGAGGATTACGAAATAATTGTGGAATAGCCATGCCGCCTTTCGCACTGATATCCAATTCAATAAGCACAGACATTGTGTTAGTCTCTATGCCCATGCATCTTGAACTGCAATACTGTATCGCATTCATCAATGAGCATAACATAGGAGTAGAAAAACCTACTAGTTAGTAATACATACTGCATCGCCCGATAAACCCGAGTAATATATACCGGCTCAGCCTCAACGACGGACGGAAATTCAGTTCCTTTCTGTCATTTTGATCCTTAGCTGCTTGATGTATGAAGGATTTCCGTGAGCTCCAGTCTTATGAGATTCCAAGAGTTTGGCAAAGGAAGGAAGTGACTTGATGAGTTACTGCTGCGATTTCTAACCAACTAAATGACCCTGGTCGGACCATGGTTTCACCTCATAAGGCCAGTTGTGTATACAATTTCCTGTAGACTCAGAAATTAGATTGTACACAATTCTGTGAGGCCTGCAGGCCTGATAAGTATACACATGTATGAAAGCCTGGATCCAATCAAATCCGCATTTTCTCAACTATTAGGCACATTTCCCATCAGGATGGGCTAGAATTTTCTGTGGGACCTTTCATAAAAATCTATAATTGGCCTGTGAAGTCAGCCCATCAATATCTGGCCGAAAACGGCTGGATGCGACCAAATGAAAATGGATGTAGTGGCAGTGCCAAATTTTTGATGGCATCATAGGGGCTATTTTCCGGTCAGAATAGGATTTAGGCTGGTTTCTGGGTGCTTGGTGGGTCAGGGAATGGTACTGGAATATTCATAAACCTAAATAACATAAGATCTGACCTACTGATGAGATATGGGGGCTCTGGAGAGCATGTAATATAGGATTTTCGCAAAAATAGCTGCAATATTTGCTTTTTGGGGGATTTTTAGGGTGATACATGCATTGGATCGATCGGGGGACTTCACCAATGAATTTCCTGACCTTGAAAACCCCCAAAAGATTCCTCTATAGCACTTGTGGCACATTTTATTACCAGGATTAGACAAGCATATTGGATTTTTAGGATGCAGCATGCTTTGGATTGCTTTGAAAACTATACCAGTCGATTTGTACACTATGAAAACCTTAGAATACTGTTACGATTTATTCTTTTCTTTTTCCTTTTCTTTTTCTTTTCTTTTCACTTCCTTACTCAGCTGGATTACGCGCAAGCGATCATCACGGACTGACTCCCACAGTACTATTTTTAGTGTACCAACGTGTATTTAAGAAGAGCCTCAGCTGGTCTAAACCCCAGCTTCGGCTAAGGTTTAATCTACCTAATATCGAACTCCGTTCTTCGTGACTATCTGTCCCATCAACTTTCATCGCCTTTGACTTGCTAAAGCGTCGTCTACCGAAGTGCGAGTAGCGACCTTAGTACAATCTAAGTCGATAGAGTTAGTGGCTAACATTTAGCCGAAGCTCGTTTTCAGTTGCCCAACATTATTCCAACCCTTCTTTTCATCGTCGTCGCACTTTCCGTGCTACGATTCCTCCTTAACGATCCACTCGGACTGGTCATAGTAACCATCCTCCGAGTCTTCCTTGCCTGCGTATTTGTCCCATCTCCAGTGTTTGCAGGATTCCTCCTGTTACTCTGGGTCGGATTTCTACGCCATCATTAAAAACATGAAACCTTTCATCCTCGCCCTCCAGCTCGCCTCTATATTGACAATTTTGTTGTTGATATTAACGAGCACCTCTGAAAACTGCGAAATCCTTTTGATGAACGGCTCCAACTACGAGACCGACCTTAGTTTGATTATCGCACTTCTCATTGTCCTCACCATACTTGCTGTCTACCAGCTCGCATGGTCAATCATCGACTTACGCCAAGGATAGATCCACTCACGGATGCCCTGGTCCGACTCCATTCTCGCCGTCTTTGCAACTTTCATACTCTTTTTCTTATCCATTATTTTGTACCGGCTACGCCGCTGTTTTCAACAACAGAGACGAGTCCGTGCGCAACTCCCGTTCCATTACGTTCCCAGCACTCCGGCGTACCCGCCACCAGTCATTCACATACCCACGGCATCCCAGCAGACGCTAGGAGATGTCGGATCCAACGTCTCCGGGGAATCTGGAGGATCCCTCTACACATCGTCGCGACCCAGCTCGCGATACTCAGGGTCGAGCACCGACTCCTACAGAAGCGCCTCCAGCGCAGCAGTCGACTCAATCGACATCACCGATACCAGGGGCGTACTCCTCGACCGAGGAGACTCGCCCTTACCAGGTCTCTTCGACCAGTCTCCAGTCCAAGGCGAGTCTGGCGACGACAGAGGCCGAAGACAAGGCACCAGGCCTCTGGATGAGGGCGAAGAAGCGTCTGATACCGAGTTCGAAGGGGACGAGCTCTCCAAGTGGGAGAGAACCCGACTCGACGACCTCCTCAACGACCTCTACCCGAACGAGGGGGAAGATGCAACCTATACCGGAGACAACTTCAGTGGCCGGTCAGGAACAAGGTGGACAGATGCAGTCTGGCAGAGTGAGAGTAGAAGATACCGGGTCGCCCAGGAGGACGACTACGACAGTGATTCCGGCGAGCTTGGCCTCAGAGCCTCCGCGGCTTCCACCAGTACAGCTCAGTCACAGTCTCTTCCAAGGTCCTGGCCGACCAATAGGGGAGAGCCGGTCGCCTGGCACCCCGCAACCAGTTGGGTCTACGCCAACCAGCGGGAAGAGACTCCTGTGGCCGGAGTCACGTCCGGAAGAGAGTCCGACCAGGTCTCTGAAAGGTCTGCGACCCCATCGATCCCTTCCTCCATCCCCTCGCACGAGCCGTCGAGTGGGGAGCTTTGGAGCGAGTTCCCAGACCTCGACGACGAGGAACTTGGAACAATTACCGCTTCCGAGTGACTCGCCGGAGTCTCCAACTGGGAGCCATCTGTCATGTCGAGAGCTTTCGCCGACCCCGTACTGGCCTCTCAGTGTCCATGGCCCCTCCTCTACCACACGTACGTCGAGTCCCTCGGACTCTCTCGAAATGCCCGGCTCGCCCCAGAAGTCGAGGCCCGAATGGAGCGAGGGAGAGCACATGATGCACGCATCCGGCGTGCTGAAGAGGACGCCCTCCAAGGACCCGGAGGCTGGTGGGACCTACCCCTCGAGCCCGACGCTACTGACGCCGAAGTCGAAAATCGTATCCGCGCCGCAGCCGTTCGATATTCAGGAGCGACAAGAAGAGCCAGCACCGACCTTGAGGCGCGAAGAAGAGCTTGGAACTCCTACCAGGCCGAGATTAGCGACCCCGACTCCGACATCGGACGATGGAGGAGAAACAAGGAGGTCGACCGGATCGCCTGAGAGAGGCAGGAGGCCAAGGATGCCGAGTCGACCACCAAACAGTGCCCTCGAGACAGAGGTCATGACGGCGGTCCAGACCCTCCTGGTCCACCCTCTTCACCCCCGGCCAACAATCTTTAATATCTTACTATGGCACAGGCTATATGAAATAATGATGGAGGACATGGAGAAAGATTCCCAGTGGCTCCTGACGGAAGCAGGAGAAGATTACCGATCCGCGAAGGAAGTAGGGGATGTTTACCTCATGAAAAACATCCTGGAGGTAGAAACTTGGCACCGGGCGGCGCTAGTATGGAATCTAGCGAACCCCGACCAACCGAAACAGGAGTGTGCGGCCTATCGAAGACCGCAACCGATGCCCAACCCGCTCGAAACCGAAGAGTTTTGGGCAGGGGCCGGGCCCGATGACGACGATATGGACGACCCTGATGCAGGGCCCTCTAACAAAGGGAAGCAGTCCACCGTGCCACCTCAACCGCCGAGTCAGCCCCCACGACGACCTGCATATCCAGGCGATTATCCTCTGCCCGGGGAGAACTATCGGCTTAGGTCGCTACCCCGACCGCCAAATCCTCAGATGCCACCCAGGGCGCCTTCCCCACCGGACCCTATACCACCATGGACCCTGGCAGCGGGAAAGGATGGCAATCCTTGGGCTGACGTCAAACCCAAGCTAATCATGCAACCCGAGTACTTTACGGGGGAATCCATGGATATCAATAGATTCCTACATCATTGCGAGATGTACTTCCAGGTGTTTCCGTTGCACTTCACCATGAACGACCAGGGACAAAATCCCTATCGCATTACGTTCGCACAGGGATACCTACAGGAGAAGGCCAAGGAATGGTGGGGGGACCAATACTATCGATATCGGGATGATCGGGGGCACTGGAGATTCCCCACCTGGGACGAGTTCTCCAATGACCTCACCGTGGAGTTCCAAGAAGTGGCAGAGCTTGCGATATGGAAGGCAGAGTGGAAGAAGGTCCGACAGTCGGAATTCAAGACGGCGGTCGAATTCTTCGCCAAATTCGAACGATTGGCCCACAAGTGCGGAGAGTTCGGAGATGAAAAACAGATGTTCGAGGCAATAGAAGCGGCGATTAGGCCGACGGTGCGAAAAACGGTCATGCATGGGGACAATGAGCGCCCCACGACCTATGCACAATGGAAGGCGTGGGTCCTATGGATCGA